CTCCTTGAATACCACTTCCTTGTTTCCTTCATTTTTGAACAATCAAATACAATATGAAATCATTATGTACATGCAAAGCCAAAGTGAAGGCAACGTTGCATATCACATAATAAAAACTTGCAATCCCCAAAAGGCAAACCCAAGATATATGATCTTGAAAACGTTTTTCCTGCATCAATCAATCCCATTTCAGAGAAACACGGTCAGAGAGAATCATGTAATATTAATCTTACCCAAGTAATTGACAATCTTCTTCTGCATATCCTCAGAGATTATTTAGTCTGCTGTCCAGCTCTGTTCAACAATCTCGCGCACCTTCCTGTTATATTCACGCTTGTTTTCGCTAAACATCCGAGCTGCTTCAGAATCTGCTGGCGAGTTCGGATTTGGATCACAAAGCAGTGACTTCAATAGTAAAAAGGGAAGAATTAGGAAATTCCAAGAATGAAAACCCAACCTCGGTAGGCATTAATATGTCATGTAACTTTATTTCATCCATCATTATATAAACACATTTTACCAATTTGAATGGTGAATCTATGTCATAATTTCCATATCAACTGGTGTAGCTAAATTAAGAGGGAATGAAAGAAAAAGGACAAATACTTCAGTAAACCAATAAAAACAAATCCATCAAGTTATAACTCAATAGACAAATCTCTATCACGTGTTCAAGAAACCAGTTCCAAAAGATCCAACAAACAGAAGCCGGAACGGCAAGCGGGAGGGTACTTGATGAGAAGACTATTTATATATTTTCCGATGGAAGACAAAACAGATTTATTACCACAGGAAAGACAAGAACTTCTTACACCTGCCAAAGTTTCACCAGTAAAGGAAACACCATCCTACAAACCATGAGAAAATCCTAAGATGATTCTCAAAATTCTTGCATTCCTTCGACTCCAAATAGATCAAATAATGGTCATCATATCATCTCTTCAAAAAAAAACCTGGCATTCTAATCCAAACCCAAAATTTGATAAGAAAAACACTTCATCTAAGATGCAGGGATTACGAGAGATTCCCTGAAAGTGAAACTAGTTTTCCCGATAACACTAGCAATAGGACATTGCAAGAACAAATATGAGTGTGCCTCATTACTCCACTGACATGACACGAACAACAGGGAAGAAATCCCTTGAGGTCAATGCACTAGTAACAAATCCTTAGTGTTATAAGCCAGTGAAGGACCAAAGACAACGTAAACATTTACCTTGAAGATCCTTGTATTTCCAAATGAAAGAGTCCAACAAGAAAAGGCGATGCCTTGTGATTCGGAAGACTACCAATAAAAGATTTGAATGGGTAGATACCAGAATTATTAGAAGCCCAAATCCTGTTAACCGTAATAGAGAAGGATGGAAAGAATCTAAAAGATTTACTGAAACTATCAGATCCTCGACCTCCCTATCTTCGAGGTACATGGAAATGTAAATAAACATGAAAACTAATGCTCTATCACGAACAGGATATCTAAAGACTGAGGAATTCTAAAGATAAGAGAGATGAAACAATTGTTAATAGGTGACAGAAAAAGGAGGGTCTCTCCTCAAGGGATCCTCCAAAGAAGAACTGGAAAATACCTACCTGAAGATGTGAGCAAACCAGCTCCAACTACAGCCAGCCAACAGCACAGCACAACATACAGAGGATCCCCTGCCTACACATAATCCCCAGCCTAAAATCATAATTCCAAAACAATTTATATTCATTATCTAACAAGCTATAGAAAATAAATATTAGGCCACAGATAAATAATCCACTATAAAAAATGAAAAAAATCATATCATGTTGATCAATAAACTATAAAACCAAATATAAATAGCAGAACTAAAAGACAACTAATAAATTCTATGCTTTAGTTTATTGACCACTAAAGGAACTGCAAGGATATGTTAAGACAGCTTGAAATGCACCATGAAATTT